AAAAAAAAAAAAAAAAAATTAAGGAAGGGATATACAGTGTGATTCTATTTTCTTAAGATTATCTATAAAAACATATACAAATTTATACAAAACACACAAATGGCTGGAAAGATAAACATCAAAGTATTCCCAGTCATATCTCTAGATTATGTATTACTAACTTTATTTTTCCTTCTAATTTCCTATAATAAAAATTTTATTATAAGAAAAAAATGTTTGAAAGTAACTTAGTTTGATTTATTATGCTATTTCTTAAGAGCTTTTTTTTTTTTTGAGATAGAGTTTCACTTTGTCACCCTCAGTAGAGTGCCATAGCGTCACAGCTCACAGCAACCTTAAACTCTTGGGGTTAAGTGATTCTCCTGCCTTAGCCTCCCTGTAGCTGGGACTACAGGTACCTGCCACAATGCCTGGCTATTTTTGTTGTTGTTGTTATTGTTGTCATTATTGTTTAGCAGGTCCTGGCCAGGTTTGAACTCACTAGTCCCAGTGCATGTGGTTGGTGCCCTAACCACTAAGCTATGGGCGCCAAGCCCTTCTTAAGATCTTTTTAACATTACAGTTAGATGACAACTTGCTGGTAGAAAAAAAAAAAAACTTTTAAAGGAAATTGCTCAAGTTATTGTACATTTATTAACTGTTAGAAAGTGAGGCAGTCTCCACTTGATCACTCAGGTGCAACCACAGAAAGTGACTGAGATTGCATGGGATCAGGTGTGCTTTTGGCTACTTCTTGTTCCCAGTTGTCAAGAAGGAGGCACCTTTTAGTTGAGGCTCTCCTTAAACATAATGTTGGAATTAATCAGTCTATAGTTTCTGGAGACACATTCATTTTTTCGTATATGAAGTCAAAAGAAGCAGTGAGAGTGAAGCAGCCGACCAATGGCACTATCACTAAGAAAAAACAGAATTAAGAATTTATGCAATCCTTCTACTTCCTTTCTGACCTCTTCTCTCCTTTCCTTATCTTTTGATTTTCTTCCTTTTGGTCCTTCCTATACTTTAAGCTTGAATGTAAGTGGTTTTTAGAAGTACACTTTATCAATCTTGTGAGTGATGCTCTTGATATCTTCTCCAATGTTGAGGACTGTCAAATTGAAACTTGAGTTCAACCTTCTTATGTTAATCTCCATTTTTTAGATGCAAATCTTGAGTCATGCCAATCCTAAAGTCAGTCTACTTCACCAAACCTTAGTAAAGTACAACTATTTGAATGGTTACTAGTAAAAAAAAGAAAAATCAAAACTCCTGCTACACATTATAAAAGCTGAAGCTACAGTCTATAAATTTAAAGACTCAAAGAATGAACTTCAAATACATAAACGATAAAAATGTTAGAAGAGTGGGAAAGGTTCTTCAACAGAATCACAGAAAGCGACTACTGGTGTTAGGCAATATCTCATAAACAAACCTGTAAGTGATACGGGGAATCAAAGATAGAAGGGATGACTCCAGGTTTCAGTTTAATATTTGGAGCACTTCTATCAAAATCTGTCTTCTTAAAGTGCCTTGAACACAATACATCTCCTTTCTTAGGCTCCCAAATACCTGCCGCGTTCACATCAAGTCTTTTCATTGCTAATACCCATTCTCTTTTGATGTTTTCATCTGTGGGGAATCTAGAAAAAAATGAAAAAAAATTTAAACAGTATTGATACATACTTGAATTAAAGCTGTCTTACATAATTATGACTAAATTGACGCCTTTAACTAATTTGTTACTACTCTTGGGAATTTCAATATTCAGGAACCCACAATTCATCCTTTTGTAACTTTCAGTTTTGATATTCCCATTTTTCTGCCAATTATGCTGCAGACATATGGCCCTTATTTTAATTTTTCTCATATTATGAGGAAGACAGTTTCAATAGATATTTAGCACCTTATAGTAAGATCCACAGTGCAAAGTTTTGTTTATTTGGCTGGGCGTGGTGGCTCACGCCTGTAATCTTAGCTCTTGGGAGAACAAGGCTGGTGGACTGCTTGAGCTCATGGGATGGAGACCAGCCTGAGCAAGAGCAAGACCCTGTCTCTAAAAACAGCTGGCATTGTGGTGGGCACTTGTAGTCCCAGCTACTCGGGCAGCTGAGTAAAGAGAATTGCTTAAGCCCAAGAGTTCAAAGTTGCTGTGAGCTATGATGCCACAACACTCTACTGAGGGTGACAAAGTGAGACTCTGTCTCAAAAAATAAATAAATAAATAAATAAATAAACTTTTCTTTATCTATAGATGATAATCACTTGGGCTTGTTCCTATTTTAAGTGATATCATCCAGAATTTGTCCCCAGTGAATCAGGGTCCTTATATTTCATTTTTCTGTCAGCATCAAAAAATTGGTTATACTAACATTTATACACTAGCATTTAACACATGACAGGTCTATAAATGCTCAGTGAATGAATGCAGAGAACAGCTATAGAATTTGGAGCTCTGGAGATGAGAATTATTTTGAGAGAGCTGAAGGCCAAAAATTTATCTTTCCAAATTTCCAAACTGGTTCAAATTCTTTTGGAATAAGGTAGGGTACAATTACTCATTTTTGACTTCCTCATATCTCACAAAGTACTACCAGACAGTTCTCTAGCTAGCACACAGCACAATGCCTGGCACTAAGGCAGCAAAATAAACCTTTAACAATGGACAATCATGAAATCTTAATACTCCTTCTCTCCTATGGCTGTCAGGAGAAAGGCTAAAACCGTAAATTAGGATCATCTTGATTTATCTGCAACATAGCTAAAGAACCTTTAGTGTGGATGTGTAAGTTATGTTTTTCTTCTCTACAACCTACGCTTGACATATTTCTATGTAGAAAGTACAATATATTTATGCAAAAATCCTTCACTCAGGCTGTAAACTGAGTGAAGGTAAATAGCACTGAATTTTTACAAAGCCATGCTGAAACAAAAGTTGGTGCAAAAGTACTTGTGGTTTGGAATTTTAAATCATTATAACTAAGTTCGAACACATGTTTATTAACCAAAATAAGAACCATTACAATCATCACATTCTTGCCAACAAGAAGTCTGTTTCTTCCTGTAGCATAAAAATCCATGTTTCGGGATTCCACAAACTCCTGGAAAGTATTTTCTGCATCCTGCTAGTTGTGGAAATGTTTTTTCTGCAAAAAGTTGTCAAAATGCTTGAAGAAGTGGTAGTTGGTTGGCGAGAGGTCAGGTGAATATGGCAGATAAGGCAAAACTTCGTAGCCCAATTCATTCAACTTTTGAAGTGTTGGTTGTATGTGTGGTGGGACGTTGTTGTGGAGAAGAACTGGGCTCTTTCTGCTGACCAATGCTGGCTGCAGGTACTGCAGTTCTGGGTGCATCTCATTGATTTGCTGAGCAGACTTCTCAGATTTAATGGTTTGCCAGGATTTAGAAAGCGGTAGTGGATCAGACTGGCAGCAGACCACCAGTGACCATGACGTTTTTTGGGTACAAGTTTGGCTTTGGGAAGTGCTTTGGAAGTTCTTCTAGGTCCAACCACCACGTTGGTCATTGCCAGTTATAGCCTTTTCAAAACTTGTTGAACCACCACCGCGCTGTACGTTTGTTAACAGTTCCTGGGCCAAATGTGTTGTTGATATTGGGAGTTGTCTCCACTGCTTTATGTATAAGAAAATCACTAGAATTTGTTTTGTCTAACATCATTTCTATTGTCCAAAATAAATATAAACAGCAAGTAACAAGTCATTAGCAAAAAACATAAAATGAGACATGTTCATTAAATATTTCCCATAACCACATTTATTTAAGAATGTATTCCAGTATCAAATAGCAAATTTCAAAAATGCAAATGCAAATTTCAACAATGCAAATACCACAATTACTTTTGCACCAACCTAAATATTATCATCAAAAGTGGGTGTAATGGTTTGGCACCTGTAGCTCAGTGGTTAGGGTGCTGGCTACATGCAGTGGGGCTAGTGGGTTTGAACCCAGCTGGGGCCTGCTAAACAACAATGACAACAACAACAAAAAATATAACTTGGCGAGGTGGCAGACGCCTGTGATGCCAGCTACTTGTGAGGCTGAGGCAAGAAAATTGCTTAAGCCCAAGAGTTTGAGGTTGCTGTGAGCTGTGACACCACAGCACCCTACCGAGGGCGACATAGTGACACTCTGTCTCAAAAAAAAAAAAAAGTGAATGTGGTGATATTTTTCATTAACCAGTCTCTCATACCTTGGCAGGAGGTTATCTTAAAACTTTTAAACTAAATTATAAACATGTAAAGAAATCATTGTCACTTCAAATTTAACAAAAAGGTTATTTTAAAAGGACTTGGGAACTAAAGCTCAGAACTGACTTAAGGAGAACCATCTTTTGCTTTTTACAGCACGGTTAAAAGTACTTGGCTTATCTATAGCACAATCTTACACATGAAACGTCAGTCCTTTTAACTTGGAATTTGGCAAACAGCGAGAAGCACATCCAATGGCCGAGCAGCATTTCACCATGATTTTAGCAACTCATAACAGAACTGAAAAAAAAAAATTTAGATGGTAAGAGTTAGTAATTTCAAGGCTGAACGGGTACATACTTACATATTTATTTTTTACACTATGTTTTAGGAAACATGAAATCGGGTTAGAAAGGCAAAGGCAAATATTTTCTTCTGACACCTGCAGCTTTGCTCATAATTTTGTCCAGGGCCTTGGCTCTTTAGTAAGGGGAGACGTGTTTAGCTATGCAACCTGAGGTGTCTGATCTCAATTTTGTGGGCTCGTGCGTTTCCCTTCCCTCTCTCACAGGTGCCACATGCCTCCCCACTCTAACTTCTCCGGGCACACTAATTCCTACTCATCTTTCAGTGCAAAGGAAGCTTCCTTAGGGAAACTCCTCTGACACCCAGATTGACTCGGATCCCATCTACTTTTAGCTCCCACGAGACACACAATTCTCCACTTTGTTATCTTATAGTTATCGCTGCGATCGCGCTGATTAATGTCTTCCTTCCCCACCAGTCTGAGCTCCAGGAGGACCTGGAGGGGCGTGTCTATTTTTTTCTTGCTTTTTGTCCTTACGGCTCAGTGGGTGTACTGGCGCGGATTGAATGTTAACACACACTCTGAATGAATGAAGAGCAAGGGGGCCGGGTCCCGGGGAGAGGCGGTCCGGAGCCCGGGCGCGCGCCCGGACAGCCGGGAGTCCCGCGGCCCAGCCGAGCTCCGCCCCCGCCCCGAGGCTCCCGCGCCGGGGACAGAGGGAGGGGCCGCCCTGTCACAGGTGCTGCTGCGCCGGGCGAGCGTCTCTTCCTCAGGGGCCAACCAGCGTCTCGGCGGCGCTGCAGTCCTCCTCGCTCCAAACCACGCCCCGGGATATGGACGGGTAGCGATGAGGCGAAAAAGAAGAGGCAAACTTAGAGCTATTACCGTTAGCAGCGAAGACGGCGACTAACGTCGACCGCGGGGATTGCGCCTTCCTTCGCTTCCGCCCCGTAGCCCTGGGAACCGGAAATCCGGCTGCCCCGGGTCACGTGCGCAGCTGCCATATTGCTCCGGTGGCGTCTGCTGCGGGGAGGGGGTGTGCCGGGGCGGCGCTGCTCGCCGCGCGTGGTTTTCGTCCTGGGGAAAGGGTCTACGAAATGTGAGGGGCGGTGGAGGAGATGGCGGCGACGGCGCGGGAAGATGGCAACTGCGGCCCGGAGCGAGGGCAGCGGGGCTGCGAGCACTATGACAGAGGATGTCTCCTGAAGGTGACGACTTCCGTGGGCTCCTCCCCGACAGACTGGCGTCGGGCGGGCAGCGGACGGGCCACGCAGGCGGTCGGGCTGGGGTGAAGCTTGGGGCCAGCAGTCAGGTTACCTTCTCCACCTGGAACCGGCTTCCTCTTGTAGAGCACGTTTTTGGCGAGGCGAGCGTAGGCCCCGTCTCGGCTCCCTGCTGAAGTAACACTTGGCATGCAGACGCCTTCTCCCTTGGGAATGAATAGCTTGGGCTTGCACGGCAGGCTCTTTACTGAAGGGTTTGTTCTTCTCTTGCTGCTCCAAATGGACTGAGGTAGCTGCGGGCCTGGGTTGGGCTTTTCTCCAGGAGCACCTTCAGGTGTGTGATGAAATAATGGGAGGGAGATTAGCAAGTGAGAACGGGAATTCGATTTAGTTCCTGTAGCAAATAGGTTCACAGCCTACCAGCTTCGTTTCAGAGTCGGTGCGCTTGTCCGAACCTACCAAGAAAAAAAATATACGTGTGAAATAGGAAGACAGTCATGCCGGTAGATAGGAAATTATAGGAAAGTGCCTCGTATGCATGTGTTGTTACTTTGTCTCTTCGAGAAACTTCCTAATCAAGTTAGAATTTTTAAAGTTGGTATCTATCCAATCCAACTTTCCTGCTATTTTGTGCAAGAAACAGTGTAATGATTTTGCTTAGAAAATTTGAGCTTTGGAGTCTTACAGTTCTGTCCCCAAATCTTAGCTTTGCCTCTTAATAACATTGTGATTTTGAACGAGATCCTCTCTCAGTGTCCTGTGTGTAAAATAGTGATAGAAGTTCCAGCTTAAAAAAAGTATGAGGATTATATACAGACGTGCATGTATAGAGTTTAGCCGGCACGTTCCCAGGAGAAAATGAGTAGTTAACATAGACTACTACCACCACCACCATCATCGTTATCGTTATCATCCCGATTTTTTTGTTGTTGTGTTAAATCACGTTAGCCCTGCTGGTCACTGACCAGAGTCCTTAGAACAGGTGGTAGTCCCAGGCTTGAAAGCAACAACTAAACTCTTCTGTAGGCTGTGGTTGGTGAACATTGCTCCACTGCACTGGCTGAAAGCTCTTTCACAGTTGTTTGTTCACTAAGTGTCGTATAATGCAATTGAATACTGTCCTTAGGATTCCACTTTTGAGCTGTTGTATCACTCTTTCAAACTTGAAGTCTAAAATGAAATTTAATGTTTACCCTCGAAGGAACCACACAGATCTGTGCATTATAGCACTGAGATACTTGGCTCTGAATGTCACACACTTGTCTCTCCTCACCCTCTTTCTTAAACACTTGAAGCCAAGTGAAGAATTTCAAGGAGGAAGTGATCAACTGGGTCAAGTGGGTCTGTTTGAGTAAGATTAAGAGCTAAATTGACTGAATTTAGGAAGAAAGAGTACTGGTGATCTTAACAAGAGGAGTTGGAAGAGATGGGGATAAAGCCTGATTGGAATGGAATCAAGAGAGAATGGGAGGGTGGAAGTGTAAATAGACTTAAAGTAATTTTTGGAATTTTGCTGTAAAGGAGAGCAAAAAAATGAGACATAGTTGCTGGGACATGTGGAATCCATGAGATCTTTTTTTCCTTTTAGATAGAAAGTACTGCAGCATGTTTTTATATTCTTGGCAAAGATCCGGTAGAGTGAGAATATTTTATAATGCAGGAGGGAGGTGGAACACTGTAGGGGCACTGACTTGGAGTAGCAGAAGGGGGTGAGATGCAGTCTCTAGGTGGAGGAGTTGACCTTAGTTAAAGCATGGACTGTAGATTCTTTGTGAAAGAAAGGAAAGTAGAGGATGAGGTATATTTGCAAGTAGGTTGTTACAGAATTTGTAGGAGGGTATTCTCTTTTGATTACTTCTATTTTTGTAGTTAAGTAAGAAGATCATCAGCAGAGTATATAGAAGGAGGAAGGGGTGTTAGAGTTTTAAAGAGAGAGCAGACATGAAATGATCACTCTAAACCTAGGTCTTAGACTCCAGAAGGAAAAAAGAACTGACGCAGGAAAGACGTAGAAAGAGTCCACTTTCTATGAGTGGTTATGACTTAAAAGTGAGACCTGGCAGTCTGACAGGAGTTTTTCTCTAGCCACATTAAACTGCTCCTGAAACAGGTTGAGTAGGAGAGAGTTGGATTTAGCCCGGGTAGGGATTTTGGTAGGTGAGTATGTAGAGCAGTGGTTCTCAACCTTTCTAATGCCGCGATGTATTTTCACTGTTAGAAAGGGGTCTTGGCCCACAGATTGAGAACCAGTGATGTAGAGGAAGAGTGGAGGGAATTAGGGTATTTGCAGGGGAAGACTCGGAGTGAGCTGAAAAGGAAGGAGGTAGCAATTAGAGAATTGGAGGCTTGAAATCGAGATGTGAAGAAGGTGCAGTTCTTGTTCTGGAGCCGTGGTTCTCAGCGTGGTGAGTGGACCCCTGGGGATCCCTGAAGCCCTTTTACTCCCAAAACTACTTTCTGCCAATACTCAGAAATTGTCTTTTTCAGTGTGCTCATAGTTGCTCTGATGTTGGAAAAGCACTGTTTAAACTGCTAGCACTTGCAAGATAGCACTAGCTGCACTGTACCTATTTTTTAACAGGTCAGTTTTGTTTACAAATGTCACTGATAAAGCAGTAAAATCATTTTCATCGAGTATTTGCCCTTGAATACAAACATGTCTTTTTAAGACTTTGATGAAATAGTAAGTTTTCATCACTCACTCTGCAAACTGATGGTTATCTTGAGGAAAAGCTCTTGTGCAATTGGATTGCAAAGTGAAACTTTTTTTTTTTTTATTACATGAAAGAACTATGGTTATTCTGACTTGGGTATTTGGCAGACATTTTCTCGAAAAGAAGGAAAGCTAGACTTATTACAATGAGAACAATTAACATTTGTTGTCAGTGTTATAAAATTCAAGCTTTCTTGAAAAATTAGAATTCTGGAAAATTTCATTAGCTTTTGTGAGCATAGAAGCTTTTTCAAAGACATTTTTTTTTAAAAGACATTTTTTGATGAGATTTTCTTCCTGTGATATTTAAAAACTTCTAACAAGTGTGTTTTTTTAATATTGTAGGTCAAATGTGTGAACATTTGGAAGATCTAAATAACTTTGTGAACTGATATTTTTCACATGACTAATGTGAGGGTAAAAGATTATTTGAAGTGCAAGCTAGATCAATGGATTTTTATGTAACAGAAAGAAAAGTTTATTGATATGACTTCAGGTTCCATGTTACAGTTGCCCTTTAGAATTGTTGAGTTTGGGTGTGATACCAGGGAATAATATCCAGAATTCTCGGAAAAGGCTATTAAAATACTCCTCCTTTTTCTGTTGTACATATTTGTGTGAGGCCAGTTTCTTCATGTACTTCAACCACAACTGACTGAACATTTGGAATATCTACATAACTTAGTGAACTGATAATGAGCAGAAACAGATTTGAGAAATCCAGCTATTTGGGAGGAAATATAGTTATTATGAAAATATGTTGTTTTTGTTAACATGTAACATGTTTGTTATTTTTATTTTAAAAAAGTGATTTTTGAAAAACCAATCAGTTTAGTGCTGGCTTAGGCAGCATGGCCCGGGCCAGGGTGACAGCAGGTGCCTGAAGCATTCTGTAGTGTGTTTTCTTTTTCTCATGTTCACAGTGGGCTCCAGCGAATGCAGTGACTTACCTAGTTGAGGGCTCTTCTGGCATCAGGCCTCATCTCTAACTTCACTTAAAAAGAGATCTATTTTAATTTATGATGTGTATATCAATAGATATAATCCACATGAGCACTTTGGTACCCTCAGTAATTTTGAAGGTATAAAGGGTCCTCAGATGAGATTGTTTCAGAACCCTTGTTCTGTGGAGTGACTGGTGAGAGTATGTAGCTGAAGAAGCTTAGAGGACAAGGCCTTTGGAAGAGAGAAAGTCAGGAACTAAGTTTTGGGTATTGGTAGGATTATTTGGTGTATGCAGAGCACTAAGATTTCGGGTAAGAGTAGTGTTGGAGAGAAAGGAAGCCACTTAAGTGTTAAAATCTTTAAAAAATGAACTGTGTTATGGTAAGTGATGGTGGAACCCTTCTGGAAGGAGTGGATCAGCAAGGCTACAGTGCACTGGAAGGTGCTGGGTTAGGTCACTGGCCTGGAAATCTCTGATACGCTGGTAGGGTAACTTAAAGCTGCTATAATGAAAAGACCCAAAAATAATGTGGTTTTGAGAAGACAGTGTTTATTTCTTTCCATTTAACTGTTCTAAAGTGAGTGATACGATTGGTGGTAAAGCTTTGTTTCATGTGGTCACTCTAGGGACAAGTTTTTTCTGTTGCATTATTTTGTCATGTTTTAGGAAGATGGCTGTCTGCCTGAGCCAACTCTGTGGGAGCTGGGAAGTCATGTGCCCAGGAAAGAGAGACTAGAACTGGGGGGATAAGTGGCCGTCTTTGCCAGTCTTGAAAATGAGGCTGTGTTTTAGATTTGTTGTACCCTCTGTAATACACATATTAGGTGGAGAGTTGATGATGAATCAAGACTGGTGAAATAAAAATACAATCTTTATAGTATTTGTTTAGGGATTGAAGTATGTAAATGAATTTATCTGGAAATGTCTAAGTAAAGGTCATCTGTCTGCTCTTTACGTTGAGAACGAGATTAGCATGTTGTGGGATTAGTTTTTCAGTTTGGGGATCCTATTCTTCATAATTCTTGTACTAAGGTTGTGTTTAACTTCATATAGATGTAGATGTGGAAGGGAAGAATTACTGTAAAAGATGCCACAATACAATGAATGTTGGGTTTAGCATCACTTTAGCAACTGTTCCATTGGCTGTAATCATCGAGTTCCTGCAGGAGGAGGAAGAAATTTTCTATTTGCATTGCAGACTTGCCTTCTCTTACTTGTTTTTGTATCTCTTTTTCTGTCCTGGGTGTCAGGCACCATGCTGTGACAAGCTTTATACTTGCCGGCTGTGTCACGATAACAATGAAGACCATCAGCTAGATCGCTTTAAAGTAAAGGAAGTGCAGTGTGTAAACTGTGAAAAAATCCAACACGTAAGATTTATGACATATTTTCTTTCTTTTTAAAAGCTTTATTAAAGTGGTTTGAACAAACCCAAACTAAGGCTAAACTCTTAGAGTAAACAATATCTTTGGTTTAGATGTTTAAAGACTTGTAAAAATAAAACTGCATATACTTTAACATAAATTCTAAGTATTCAGATAGTAACTCAAGATATTATGGTTAATTTATTCCAGTTTTTGATTATGTGTCTTGTTTAGGCTCAGCAGACTTGTGAAGACTGTAGCACACTGTTTGGAGAATATTATTGCAACATATGCCACCTGTTTGACAAAGATAAGAAGCAGTATCATTGTGAGAACTGTGGAATTTGTAGGTACTGTATGTAAAATGTTTTCTAATTATGTCTGTTATATCTGGACAATAATACATTTTATAGTCAACGTTATTGGGAC